GGTCATGTTTTTCCTCTTTCTTTCCTGTTATTGCCTGTTCATTCCCACCCCCCCCACCCCCACCCCCACGTTTTTTTTTTCCTTTTTCCTTTTATTCTTTACTCATTGGCCGTGCCCGGCACAGTGCACTGCACGGCGCCCTCCCTTGACTCTACCACTACTTCCGTCGTCTCCACGACATCTGCCCCCTCTTCCATCACGACGTTCGGCTCCTCCTCATGTGCTTTCAAGTTCGACCAATCAATGTGCCAGTATAGAAGATAGACGTAGGACGGGCACCCCAACACCACCACGCCAAAGAAAGGGCCAATCCACAGTGACTCCACGCCAAACTTGAGATAGAAAAAGAGGTAAAACGCAACCGGCGCACCCACAAGACAGAGCGCGGAACCTATAATAATGGCACCAATCTTTTGTAGTCCACACCCACGCAGAATCCCCATGACTGTACTTTGAAAGGTATCAAAGAGATGATACGGCAGGACGTAACGCAGCAGACGGCGATACACCACAACCACCTTTTCCTCAGATGTGAAAAGAAAAGGAATGCGATCCTCCAATAGCCAACAGAGCGCAACATCAATTACCGCAATAACAGCCACGATCACAATGGCCACATTGGCAATACGCTTTCCGAGCAATGGTTTACCCTCACCAATGGCGTTGCCAATGAGTACGCAGACAAGAATCATTACCCCAGAAGCAATACTCCAACAGACGCCAAACACCTGCATTGTGATGGAAAACGCCGCCAATTCATGGGGCTCTGCAAACCCTGCACAAACGGAAATCACCTCCAGTATAACCCACTCACTCATCATCATTGCCATTGATGGAATGGCTAATTTCAGAAGAGCCTTAATGTTTTTGATTGCTTTCCGGTCCCAACCGCCCCAGGTTTTCTTGTATAGTCCGGTCCAATAAGCATGCGCAATTAACGATGCGTCAACAAAAGTAAACAACAATAACCAGGCCACAGGTGAGCCATCAAAACCAAGCCAATGAATTAGCAATATTTGAAAAATTGGGTTAAATAAAGATGCGACAAGCATCACAATTGAAAGGGGACGCGTCTCATGTTGGCATGCGTAATAACGGCCAAGGACCTGAAAAATCTGTGTACTTGGGATACCAAAAACTGCGATGCGGCAGAAACGTCCAGTATAATACACAACCTGCTCACTTTGCCCAATATACTCCAGAAACTTATCAATGTATATTAAAATTGCACCAATAGGAATACTAATAAAAGCCAAAATAATAATCATACGCTGAACATAGGTGCCATACATATGCATTGTACCTGACCCTCCACGGGACTTATAAAGACCGTACGTGTGAGACAGTACTGTCTCAAGAGCCCCACAGGAACCAGCCGCAAATGCAAATGCTGTCGCATTAATAAGGCCAAGTGCCAATGAGGCCCCTCCAAGTTCATTCACCCCTAATTTCCTCCCTACTACAGCAAGGATGACGGTAATGATAGAAAACTGTGCGAGTGTGGCCAGAGTAAGAGGGACACCCGTCACAACAAACTTTTTCACGATTTCCAATGTGGATATATCCTCCGGAATGTGCTCTTCCTCTAATGCTGCCACAGGCGCAGTGGTAAAGGAGTCATTCGCCCGGGGATGCATATTGGTTGCCATTTTTTAGGATCTTTAAAACGGCAAACCAAATACCCACGCAGGGAAATACTCAAATGTCCAACCACACAAAACGTGCCCGGGAGGACCACCACACTCCGCCTGCCCCTTGTCGTCAGTTTACTTTCCTCGTGTTGTTCTTTTCTTCGCCCACAAAAATAAATAAATAAATATAAATAAATAAATACCATAAAGTGGAGTGGTAAACGAGAGAGACGAAGTAAACGCACAATAAAGGTACATCTATGCACACACACACACATACATACACGGACCTTAAAAAAAAAAAACAATATTATTATTATTTATTATCTCTTTCTTCCCCCCGCTGCTCTACAGCACCTGCATCCTGTATCCGCACAACAACAAGCACGTCGCCCGTTTTCTCCCCTTTTCTCCTCGCTGCTTGCCCTCACCGCCGCGTCCTGCCTCGTAGCAGACACGCATGCACCCGAATGAGGGGAGCCGGCAGTTGCTTCCTTTCCTCCACATAGCACAAGTTGCAGGAAGGCATCCGCCCCTTTCATCGTCGGTGTGTGATGTCCACAAAACCTCAACGGTAAAAGTCGGCTTCTCAACGCGCAGGCGACGACACTGCAGTAAGAAAAAAGTAATGCACCAAACCACTATTACAAAAGAGCATAAAACAATTCATACAACGTACATAACAGGGTACAACGACAATGCAGAAAGGAACGCGTGTAATCAAATATGCAAATAAATAAGATGCAAAAACTGAAACCACCAGGGCAAACGAATTACCAACGAAAAACACACCAAAACAACAACAACAGCAAATAAACAAAACAAAAAAATGCATCGAGACAGCAATATCGAGAAGCAAAAAACTTTTGATATACGACGTTACAAAAAAAAAAAAAAAAAAAAAAAAAAAAAGAAAAAGACAACAATAAGAAAAACAAATAA